CAGTATTATAACCTTGGAGAGAATGTTCCCTTTGTTCTTTCTCAATGAACCATAGAGAACCTGATATAACAGCTCAGAACTTTACTTGACAGGACTTGTGATGGCTGAAGAGATGAGAACGACATCAAGTTATAAAGCCCCGGAACTCTATATTGGTATTTCATCCCATTTCAAAACTACCTTGTGGAGGCTGTGAGGGGATTGAGATTAATTTTTGGTATTGTTGGTTGGTTCTTATCTAGTGAAATGTGCAAAAACAACAAGGAATCAAATTTATCCTGGGAAAGTTGGGTTTTTAAGCAGATGAGTGAGTTGCTATCCAGTTTCAGAAGTTTGGGTTGGGTTTGGCATTTTCAGCGTGCCTGAGCATTAATGTCTCACTTTGACTTAGACTGAAGTGTCGGGAACAGCCTTTTCAATTGCCTGTGGAAGACCAGAGGCATCGCAGGGGTTTGTTCTGGGCCAGCTGAGTTGGGAAGTAGCGAGGACAAGGGCAAAGCCATTAGAGGATACCCTTGTGAATGCTCCCCAAAGGAACTGGTCTGTCTGAGATGCTACAGGGTTCTATAACTGTGAATGACAATGGTCTTCAAAGTCTCTAGTTTCGAAAGCTTTTCTAAGCTATTGCCTTCGCACATGTACTTTTATCTGATCTTTCCCATGGAGTTCTACAGTCTATGTGCTGATTTAAGGGGTTACACCATGAAGTGGTCCCACAGAGCTGAACTCAGCAGTAGTACAAGTCACCAGAAACCTTACAGACAACAAACAACTTGGTATCAGTATTATTTGGCTTAGGTCTACAAGCATTACACTTTCTCCTCTGTTGCTCCCCCACGTTGGCCCTCTTCTGCCACTAAGATACAATGAGGTGGTACCAGTAATCACCTTCCACTGCTTGCAGCATGATGCCTTCACTAATGCTGTGATAGTGCGCCCAGTGATAGTGTCACCCTGATGGCCAACAACTGCCTGAAGACATGTGTGACCGGAACTTAAATTTCCTGTTTGCACAGGAGCGGCCACTGCCCTTCCTAGTTGGCAATGCAAGATCAGGCTTAAAGAGCTTGAAAAACACATTTATATATGCTGCTCCTTCAGCCTGTTGTGCATCTTCATTTACAAAGGGAAAACAACACCCCAAAAAACCTAACCTTTTTTTTGTATAATCCAAATAGCATCCTTGCTGATTGAAAACGCTATCTAAGTTACAAATTAACACTTAGATATCTACCTCCCAGCTAAATAGGCTGATGCTTCCTAAGGTCATGTAGTTTAGGTTCCTGGCTAGCTGTTATGAGAGCTTTGAGCAGATTAATGGATGTTGTCCAAGAAAAGCATCTTTGTTATATGGTTGTTCTAGGGTTAGAAATTAAAATTAATTTGTGTAAAACTTGCAGTGAAGAGTAAGCTTTGCCCCAGAAAACTCACCCTTCTCCTCCACATACTTGGTGAGAGATTAATGACCCTTATTAAAAAAAAAAAAAAATTGTTTCAACTTTGTTTATATGATAAAGTAAATGAGAAACAAAAGTTGCTCCTTCAGCAAAAGCCTACAATTTTTGTTGCATAGCTCACTTTTGAAGATGCCCTCTGGTCACTGCACTGTTTCACAGGTGTTTTCCTCAGTGAAGTTGCTCCTGAAATGATTTGGAAGCATACCTTCTGTGAAATCAGACCTTAGTATATGAAAGATTTCAGGGAGTGTACCATATATTAAGTGGTGTTCTCTATGACTTAAAGCAAAAAAGAGTTCATACCCTATGAATGTGGACTGAAAATGCACGACTGCTATTTACAGGCTTACAAAATATTGGCTTGCAGGACAAAAGATGCAGCTGGCCTACAGGGAACTGTACTTATACATTAGTTTGAAATGCATGCAAGCTCTGATCTGACTGAGAGTAAGGTTCTTGCTTCCTAGTTGTTGTGTGAAGGGGTGGCAGTAATTAACTTCTTGGTACCCAACACTAAAAGTGGAAATGCTTGATTAGATAGCTGGGCACTATTTTGTTATCTGCACAAAAAAAAGCAACAGTGCTTTGAAAAGTGCACGCACACTGTCTTGGCAACAATGTCAAAGCCATAAAGTGTATTTTTTTTTCCCCTTCTCTATGTCTCTGGCACTCTGCACCTACATCAGCTCTTCCCACTGAGCGGAGTCATGGCCATACAAAAGGCCATTTCTAAAATATGAGAGGTGTAAAATTCAGTTCCCCAGAATCATCAAGGTGATTAAAAGGCTGAGAGGGACTGGCCTCAGCCACTTCCTCTGTCTTCTGAACCCAAGCCTGAAGCCTTGGTGACCAGTCTAATGTAAATTAATAGCCTCTGCCCACACATGGCTGCATAGGCTGGACTTTGGCTCTGTTTTCAGAAACTAACTTTTTACTGCAGGAAGACTTACTTTCTTTCCAGTTTTCTGTGGTTTTTTTCCTTTCATTTTTTCCTTCCCTTCTTTTTCTTTTTTTTTCTTTTGGGCTTTTTTCTGCAAAGATATCTCCTTTTTGGCAGCCAGTTCTGCAGCGACCTGAAAGAGATGGGAAGCAATGTGAAGAGTTGGTCAAATATTTTCATGTGCAAGGTGTTAGATGTGCTGTAAGAGCGATGAACTAGTGTGTATTTTTCCTCCCCCACTTTCAGCTTTCCAATACTGGGGAAACATGATATCCAATACACGTTGCTTGGTAGCCCTCTATGAATTCCAGAGTGGCTGACCATTACAGAGAAGTCCTCTTGATTTATGCTGAGGGCACTCCCACCTGCAAACTTTAGAACAGGTGCTGACTATCCCAATATATCATTGGGAAAGAGATGATTTCTATGTCCCAAACCATGAGGGCTTTTATGGAGTAAGACCAATTTCTGAAACCACCCAGAAGCACAATATCCTAATGACTTACAACTTAAAGTTCCCTCTGGACCTGGACTCAGATTATGGATTTGTCTTAGCATTTCTAAGGCAGATTTTTTTTTTTTTTAGAGATGGATTTTGAGAGATTGCCCTGAGGCATGTCTAATTTCAATATGTGGCTAAAGACTGAAATTGTTCTAGTGAGTGAGAGAGATTGGATACTGTGACAAACTCTGACAGATGTACACAGATAGCCCAGCATCTTTATTCCTGCAAGCTAGTAGCAGCTGATAACTGGGTACAGCTACATCATTTTCTATAACTTTAGTTCCCGGCCATTTATACTTTATTATCTGAAAAAGGAGAAAGGTGAAATTTGCTGCTTCTACTGTTCTCTTGTTTCCAGGTGCCCTTCATTGTGTTCTCTTGTAAGATCATCTACTCCTGAGTATAGATCAGAAAATCTGTGGCCATTGAAGTTTTTTAATGGACCATTAATATTGGCAGTACCATGAAAGAGTAGAAAATAAACAATTTTCAATTGTAAGATGTTTGCTGTAACAGTAAAAATGTTTGTTTTCTAAAGAATGCCTTTTAATGCATTGAAGATTGGACAGTGGAAGGGGAATGACAAAAAGAGCTATACTTTGCAGCCAGTGAAATTTCATTAGTGGATTTCCCCAAGCATTTCAGTATCTTCCATTTAATTAAATATGGTAATTTAAACCCCAAGCACTGTTCAGTCATATCTTGTGGTGATAAGCAGTGAAGCCTTTCATTCCCTGGGATAGATTAACAGATTGACTAGAGTTCAGAATAGGTTTTTAGTGTCCCAGCAGGCCTGTTGTATCCAAAACCAACAGAGCTACTCAAAGTGTATCCTTTACTGTAGTGCTAGTACCCTGCCAGAAATCCAACCTTGCCACTTCCACCCTCTGCTCTGACTACCAAAGGGTAACCGTAACTGTTTCCAGCATCTCAGGGGTGGGTTTATCCAGCAGGATACCTGTAAGCATACATGCGATTGACAAAAGGTTTTAATTTTAAGCAGTGTTTTTGAGTTCTACTCGTGATACTTTAAGTATATCCAGACTCTGATTGGAATGATTTACTTTCATGTTTTTATACAGATGAATGATACTGAAAGGGGTTATATAGAGTTTCTGTTCTCATGAACCTGCTATAATGGGACTGAATTGTTGAACTGTCCTTATCCTTCTGTCTTGCCTTGATAAGTTTTGTAAGGTGGCAAGAAAAAAAAGTTTGTTTATTTTCAGAACTGCAGAATGAGCTATGGTGCTAAGTCTTGAACTAACTGCTCATGTAGGGAACAGAGGAAAATGGTGCTTGCAGTTAGCACTGAGTGAAATCTACAGTGACACAAGAAGCCAAGTCTAGAAACATGCACAGTGACTGCAGGCAGAGGTTGCATACATCCAAATAACACCTGTACAGTCTCTCTCTTGGATGTCCTGAAAACATATATGTAGTCTGAAATGCCAAGCAGTTTTGGTGAAATGCTCCAAAGCCATTGTGCTGGTTTTGGCTGGGATAGAGTTAGTTTTCTTCATAGTAGCTAGTATGGGGCTGCGTTTTGGATTTGTGCTGGAAACAGGGTTGATAACACAGGGATGTTTTCGGTACTGCTGAGCAGTGCTTACACAGAGTCAAGGCCTTTTCTGTGCCTCACACCACCCCACCAGCGGGCAGGCTGGGGGTGTACAAGAAGCTGGGAGGGGACACAGCCAGGACAGCTGACCCCAACTGGCCAAAGGGACATTCCATACCATATGGCGTCATGCTCAGCATGTAAAGCTGGGGGAATAAGAAGGAAGGGGGGACGTTCAGAGTGATGGCATTTGTCTTCCCAAGTAATGGCTACACGTGTTGGAGCCCTGCTGTCCTGGAGATGGCTGAACACCTGCCTGCCCATGGGAAGTAGGGAATGAATTCCTTGTTTTGCTTTGCTTGTGTGCGTGGCCTTTGCTTTACCTATTTAACTGTCTGTCTCAACCCAGGAGTTTTCTCACTTTTACCCTTCCGATTCTCTTCCCCCCGATCCCACTGGCAGGGAGTGAGCGAGTGGCTGCATGGTGCTTAGTTGCTGGCTGGGATTAAACCACGACAGCCATGCAGCTGGCAAAGCTGTCAGCATGTGGAGCCTGACTTTTCTGAAGTGGCTCTCTGCTTTCCAAAAGAGAATGACAGAGCAAATATAATTTTTCCTTTTCTGTGTCAGATGCACCTTCTCCTCTATACTCCTTCGGTGTAGCTTCTCCAGCTCTGCTTTCACCTCTGCTTTAAGCAGCTCCATAATTGCAGAGGACTGGGAGCTGGGGTGAAGCTGGTTGTGTATCTAACCTTGAATGGTTTGTACTCTTCTACACAGAACAATTTCCCTTCCAGCTACAAGAAGATGCCTGAAGAATCTGACAAAAGAAGAGGAAAGAAAGGAAAGGGCAAGCAAAGGTTAGTTTGAGATACTAAGCAATTCACCCACATTATAATACAGTTTTTTCCCCTGAAGAAAACTTCATAGTGGAAATAAAAGCAGATGTCTTCCTAAATTCTTTTAGACTGTCCTTTTCTTTGCTAGGTTGCCTCCTTTTGAAATGATGCTGAAAGCACTTAGAAAACTCTTAATATTGGGGAAGAGAATGTGCATCAGTAAGAACACATGAATTTTAGTCTCCTTTTTTCTAGTCTTGCTGTAGGACTCCTGTCATGCTAGTGATGACTCTTCCCCAGTAATGTTTTCTTCTGAGGCTGAAAAGACATTTTCCTCTAAACTGATATCCTACAAATTGACTTTTCTATTCATACATCAGTTCCAGTGTGTTTCCAAACTCTTGCAGTGCAAATCCCCTTTTTTGGGAAAGAGAGGGGCACTAAAACAGAGTGCGGCCTATGAATGGAAATTCCTGATGTTGGTTTATGAGCCAAGCATATGAAAACCCCCAGCTGCCAGTAGGACTCACTCATGTTCTATGTTCCTCAGCCATAGAAAGCTTGGTGTTGGTTCAGGCAAGCTAATACTTGAGGTAAATGTTCTTCCTCAAGAATAAGGCCTTCACTCATTCCTCAAAAGAAGACCTTACTTGAACTTCTTGTCTTTATTAGTGTTGTAGGCATAAATGAAATGCAGGGATAGAGTGAGTCTGGGAATTCTGGATCTCCAGTTGTGGCGGGTGAGAGACAGCCTCAGAGAGCCTTGTAATTCTGGCTCTAAAACCATTTTGAACAGAAACACTTTATACGCACATAGCCTAGTGTTCCTGGAGAGAAAATGTGCTTTCTTTGAGTATTAACTCTACAGGAAGAAGCTATTTTGAAATCTAAGACAAAAAAAAAGTTTCTTCCAGAAAACAGGACTATCTGAGATGGGAAGAGATGCCATCCCCATGTCCCAGAGTAGCATGCCAAACGTTGGACTGCCTTTTTTCATCACTTGTATGTAACATGCAGTATGCTGTAAATGTGCTTCACCCTATCCTACCCCCCTAGCTTAAGGACATTTAATTACAACTCTTTCTATAGGCTGATTATTTCTGTAAGGTGATATTTTCTGTCAGTTGGAGGAGATGTTATTTTCATCATGGTGGGCTTGGGACTCTGTCCCATCGAGCTAGCTGAGAGCCAGTGTTCTGGATTCGTTCCCTCTCGCAGGCAAATCCATTTGTGTAGCTTTTAATAATGTAGTGTTCTCCTGGCAAGGCACTTCTGAGCGTTGTTTACTTTTGGGTGTGCACCTGCAAGCAAAGCTTAAGCTGTTAAAAACAACCCCAGTAATCTGTTTCTTGCGGGTATGAATTCAAACGTTGGGTGGGATTTCATAGCTTTATGAGATCTTGAGAAATCTTACAGTTGGCTATACTAGTCATGCATTTCAGTCCATGACTGATATATGCTCCAGTCTTTTTCCACCTGGCAGATGTTGCCCAAGTGTAGTTTAACTCACCGGTTAAACTCACTCACTCTTGTGTTTGTTTTCTGGCAAACACTTCAAAACGTTAGTCTCCACTGAATGTGTTTATGAAAAATCTGCTAGCTTTGTTTGGTGTGGGTTTTTTTAGGGAAGGTGGGTGGTAGAGGTGAAAAGGGGTTGTTGATACTGCTTGGCTCTAGGCATACAACCTAGATTTCTGACTTCAGCCAACAGAGATCATGTTCATAGGCAATGGAGAGCTGCTGGACTAGGAGTCTACCTGTTGAATGGATTCATTGCAGTGAATCATTGTCTGGAGGTGAATACATCTGCCCGTTGTGTAGCTTAACAGAGACAGAGTACCATTTCCATCCCCCTGCATGGTTAACTCGAAATAATCAGAATATTTTTAAGGCTTTGAGGTGCCCAGCTCAAGCGATGGCACTGTGTTTAGCACTTGTGAAAATCCAGTCTGGTAATTTCTAAAAGGAGCATCCAGAATAGTATGAAACAGAGGAAATAAAGACGAGCGTAACTGTAGGCATCTACTTCTATTACTGAAATACAGTTGATATAGTTGTTGTCAAGATAAAAGCATATTTGCAAAATGCTGGATGCTAGAAAGAACAACTCTACACAGCCTCTTGAATCCTTCTCTGATGCTTTAAAGCTATTTGTGATCTATTCATTTGGTAAAAGTGAATAAGATATTACACACAAGGGTGCGCGTGTGAATATTGCAGTACTTGATTGCATTTTACTGTCCCTACCTGGGAAATAGTCAGGGATATTAATTAAATATTAACTAACTACTGGGGATCTCTTGTACTGCCATTCACAATCAGACTGATTACTGGGATTCATGGGGATCTTTAGCTGTTGGTAATAATGAATACTAATTAGCAGCATAGTATTGCACAAGAGTGCCAAGCGAGGATCAGGAGCATATGTTTGCACAGCAGCTGACACTTTTTCTCACTCCTTCTCTAGATGCTGCTGGATCAGATACTGTGATTACAGTAGTGTGGAGATGACTTTGTCCTCCATGCAGCAATTGAATGTAGAACCAAAATCTCGGTAAGTAAGCATCTTTTTTTCTGATAAGTTATTTAATATTGGAAATGAGGGGGAGTGGGAGAGGGGGAATGTGTTTGCTAAATGGCAACTCTCTTGGCTTATTTTCATGGTGACGAGACTTAATGAAGTACAGGAAGAGATCGTAATTTTGCTGGCAGTAGTATAAGGGCAAAGCTAAAAATTGTCACATCTGATGATTATCTTCAGAGCAAAACATAAAAAACCATTAGGGATAGACATCTGGAACAGATGCAGGGAGATTACACTGATGTCTCAATCTTAAATTTCTCTTGAAGAGTATGTAAAGTAGAGAAAAGCTTCTTTTCAGTCAAGAGATGGTATGTATTTTTCTGACTAAACCACCAAGTACTTTGCATCAGGATCTCTTTGGTATATCTTTTTGAAAGGTATTTGTAAAATATCATGAAAGCAGTTTGTGCAGAAGGCCAGCAACATTACAAAGTCAAGTAAGGTCAGAGTTGTCAAAGGATGAAGAAATATAGAATGTATAATAATGCAGCAATGGTTCGTGAAGTGATTAATTTGTATTTTATTTTCCCTAAAGTGTCTTTATCTAAGTCTTATAAAATGCTTGCTTTTTAAATACAGTTCAGCCCTGATTTTTCATGGAGTTTAACTTGGGAGTAACCAAGCCGTTCACAGAAGCTAATATATACAAGAGGTGAAATCTTGTCTCCCCTGAAGTCAAGGACAAAACTCCCATTAACTTCAGTGGGGCCAGGACTTCATTTACTATGTTGCCCAGTAGACCAGTGTGGAACAAAACCAGTTGCCTTAGGGATTTTTAATATGCAGCTGACTCAGTTGAACAAAAAAATGTTCTACTTGCCTGACATTCAGGTAAAATCATGAACATACTGACCTTTCTTTTGCCAGCTGCATTCTGGATATCTGTTAAGGTTATGTGACATACATTTTGCTCTCGGTTGTGTTGGCTAATAAGGGAGAAAAAACGGGCCCCAAAATCTTTGAAAATCAGATAACTGCTAGTGAAAACTAGCTGGGAAAATAGTTCCTTTTTTTTTTTCTTCCAGGTATTTTTCTTTTATGCAGGGGAAAACAGGTAGTAAAACAATCTCTCTAAACTTTTGGCTTCCTTCATTTTTTTTCCTTATGCAAAAAGAAAGCAGATGCCCAGGAAAGACAGCAAAATAGCTGAAGGTGGGAATTCAAAGCTGGGAGTAGGACAGGAAGAATATATTTCTCCAGAACCATGTCCAGTTTTGCTCAGTATAATTTCTTGTAAAGTTCTCTTTCTGAATTGTGTTTATCCTTGTTGGTAGCAGGTCTATAATTAGCCTAAAGTCCCCTGAAGCCTTCTCCAGCAATAAGCCATACTTGCTGGGTGGTTCCCCAGCTGCTCAGAGCAGCCAACAAAGCTGCCTTGACTCTGGCATGTGTTTCTAGTTTAAAGGCTGAAAACTTAACTGACAGGTCTCCTTCACTCTGTCTGGGACAGAACAACAGAGTGGCTTAGATACAGAGGCCGGTGGGGTTGACCTTAGCATACTGTGAACTTGGCTAAAACCAGGAGTATGCCCTGAGCTCAGTTTGTGAGGCACAGAGAGCTGTTTGTAGCAGTTTTCTTGTGTATCTTTGTAAGCAAAATAACTAATGGTTATCGTATTGTGCTTTATGCTGGGCTATTCTGTATTTACATCCCCTCAAACCACATAGATGCTTCTAGCATGCCCCAGGCTTTTCCCTATGATTCCAGGAAGGGCTGAATCCAAAATATTGTTTTACCATACCTGTGTTAGATCATCAGTTGCAGGCAGCTAATAAACACAATAGTCTGTCTCAACAGGGGAGCTTTAAGGACTGGAGAGGTCAGTTTTTGACAGTTTAGTTTTCCTAGCCTGCTAGTAGCCACGATGCCTGGTTCACTCAGGGGCCAAATCCTGCTCCTGTGTGCAGGGCTTCCTGTTCATAATTTCCCTCAATAGACTCATCCTGCTAAGATCGTCCTGGAGGGTGGAATTGGTTCTGAGCGCCAACCATTGCCTTCACTGCTTCAACTGGCCTTAATCACTTTCTCTGTTGACACCCAGATGATCAGAGGAAGAGATCATCAGCCACTTCTATTAGCCAGAGAAGTTAGAAGAGGGATTTTACCAGGAAAAACAACTGTGTTCACTCCAAGAACACATATGATAAACTAAGATACTTCCTTCACTTGAATGTGCCTCTTGTTCAAGCTCGCTTAATGGATCCTTGGCAGTAAATCAAGGCTTAGACCTGCCTGCATAAGAAACTCTTCTCTGCTTAAACTAAACTAATTATTGCTAGACTGTGCTGATACTGAATGCAAACACACTGGAACCAATTTCAGCCTCTGGGGTAGCTTTGGATGCCTATTTTAAACTAAGGCTCTTTAAACTGTTTAATATATATTTCTACTAGTACCTAGCACCAGTCTAACTACATGGATTTTGCAACAGGAGAGCAACTCTTCCTGGCTGAGCTCTTTCCTCTTAGCTCCCTCAGACATTTATCTATGTGTAACTTGCACGCCTGGGCACCTTCCGCTATGACTAAGTGGCTGCACATCCTGAAAGGGAATAAATTTTGGTACGTGAGTTTTGTGGTTTACCTTGGAAGAAAACAATCCTTTCACTTGCAGCAAAAAACTCTTTAACCATAAGGTTCCTGGAGTGCTAGAGGCCATTGTTACGAAAATTACTTAAACAGACATGTTTTGTGGAGATTCTTTCTCCAATCCCATTAACCTTTTGCATTAGAGGATTGACAGTACCTGCTCTGGAGTTTTTTGAGAAAGAATAGCCATTGAACCTCCTGCCTCTTCAGTAGGATAGTCAGGAAACTTGCCTATGATATGCCTGTGTGAGAAACAAAAGATGGAAAAGGAATTAAAATCCATAATTTTTCATCTGGTTGACAAAGATGTTAGATGGTGGGGAAGCATGCTCTACCTCACTTCCTATTCAAAAACAGAGTGCTGTATTCCCTCCTATGATAGTGGCTTCTTGTCCAGTAAATTCATTAGAACAGTTACTAACCCATGTCTCTTGTCCTGTGGCCCACCAAACATTGAAAGTTCTCAGGGAATTTCTTAGGACTGCACATCACTTCACAGCTGAGAGACTTAGCTTAAAGTGTTTATGTTTATAGCTCTGCTCTCTGCTTTCAGGATCTAGCTTTTTTTAAAAATTCATTTTATTTAAATCAGTTTTTGATCTACAAATTCCAGATTGTATTTTTGTGTGAGCATCTTGCCCTTAAAAATTTCTAATGTACTTGCACAAATAGGTGGTGATGAAAGCCGGGGAGGTAGCAATGAGAGGCTTTGTGGTAAGGTTTCATGAATGGCATGGATAACATAGGGTGCTTCCAGACCTTTCAGAAAGAGATTAAAAGAGATAAATAATAATTACAATCTAAAGGACATTTATATTGATAAGAATGTTTCACTTCTTTCACTTTTGTAGCTTTTTGCATTATATCAGTAAGACTTTCTGTTTGCTTGGTAATATCAGGAAGATTTTCTGTTCCAAAGAAAATTCTGACACTTCAGAAAAATCCTCGTGCTACTTTCAAACAGAATGGTAACGTTTTCCTCTAAATGAAATGAAATTTTCCCTTGAGAAGAAAATAGCTCAGAAAGGTCAGTGTGATTCATAAAAATGGCTTTCATTTTTTTAAAACAACTGGTACCTTGAAGGTTTTTCCTAGTCTACTGTTAAGCAGTAGACTCAATTTTAAACTGAGAACCTTGGAACAGAGCATCAGTTATGTTTCTATAATGTGTACAGTTTGGATCCCTAGCTAGTATTAATGTAATACAAATTACAAAAAAATAAACAAACATTCATCTGTGATTGTAAGCTCTGACTTGCGTGTTCAACAATTACTAGTTCTGTATGCAAACAGATGCAAAACTTTGGTTGCTGTATTCCTAGAAACCAGTTTGCATGAACAAAGGCATGTCATTTTTTGTTAGTGTATTTTTTCTTAAAATCTAGTAAGAATGAGATTTTGGCCTCAAACCTGCATCATCTAGTTTATTTAATGTTAGATCATGTTTCATTTTTTACAAACAGCCAGAAAATAGCTCAATTTTATGTTAAATGCAATCTTGTTTTAAATGCTGCTACAAGTGTGGCTTCCAGCAACAAATTTCTCAAAATCTGATATTAAGGCTGTTACTACTTTACTAATGCCAGCTGGGAGGAAGGAAAGGCAATATGCACTGCGGGTGAAGAATCAGTTTGGAGTCTACCACCTACTGAATGTGGTATCAGTGCCAGCTTTCAATATTTATTAGTGTTAGATTTGGTATTTGTATTAGCTTTTCGCTTTTAAATCACTTACAGCTCTTGGAGATGGAAATATTTACCCTTTGGATATGTATGATGAGTGTATATCTGAGTGCTGTAGAAATACTATCAAATTCTCAAATTTGAAAGTGGGTTCCAGTTTGTTTATAAGTTGTATTTTCTGTGATTCTACTTCTCGCAGCTGGTGCAGCTGCTTGGGATGACATGGCTCATCTCATCTTTTTGTAGCAGCTATAGCAATCGCCTGTGTTGAAAAATAACTTGAGGTGAAGAGAAGGCAATGCCAATCTTTTCATACAAGTGAAAAAGTGACTGGGTCTTTGGTTGGGGGCAATGCAGAATGTAAGTTCCCATGGTCATCAGTGACCTGAGAGCAGACAGCTACCACACGTTTCAGTCGTGCTAATTCTTCAGGGACATCTGTTTTTTCTGGACTTCATCCTTTCTTGTGTACTGTTGTTTAGCATATCAATCGCTGTCTAATGGTCAGGGAGTAGTATTCTTAAGTCTCATTTCCCTGCCTGACTTCTTGTGGGTTTTCCTCTTTCTCTTCTAGGTTTAAATGACTACAGCTTCAGTCTTGTAATGCCTGGAAAGCATGTACATGCATGACCCTAATAGACAAATTTAATCTCTTTACGAAACCCTCTGAGTTCAGAGGTTAAACCAGGGATTCATTTGGCCTGTAAATCTGCACAGAAAAATTCAGTCATTGATCTTCCTGGTCAAAAGTCCACTTTTAAATGTAATTAATCTCAATTTTCATTCCCCATTCACTTTTTGGCAGCATTCTACTCAAAGAGCCATCACAATGGGTTGTCTGACACATTTGTCATAAGGTACTAATTTGGATTTAACTGGACATAAAATTCTGTTTTGTATAAGCTTGTTTTATAGTTGTTGATAATGACAAAACAGCAGGATAAAATGAGCAGCCAGCATGCGCTCCATGAACAGCCAAGGGTATTCCCATATCTTTGTTCCATCAGATATGCTACACACCATCTGTGGCTCAAGAGGGTTCCATCAGGGGTGTCCCACATTGAACAGAGAACAGCTCTTGAACTAGGAGGATCTTCCAAACATAGGGAATGACTATGAGCTTGCTTTAAGGTAATAATTGTTCAAATAATTTTAAACTGTCATACCCTTTTGAAACTTCCTAGAAACAGTGAAGCATTCATGATTAGAACCAGCTTAAGGCAGTAATACTGAAATAAAATTAATCCAGATGGTGTAAGAACTTGTTCCAAACTTGAGCCTAGAATGCTATTTTGTTTTGCTGGAGCCAGGAGCTCTGGTGTAGAGGAGGGCTTTATGGTGGAAATCCTTCTTTGTTCCACCTATGCGGCACTAATGGCACAACCGTGCTGTAAACCAAGACTTAACAGAAGGTGGGAGCTGCAGAGGTTCCCATAGTTAGCAAGTAGCCTGAAAATTGAACTGGGGACTAGAGGAGCATTATATCTGGACCTGCATTGTTCATTGACTCCAAAAGTTGAGCTGCAACTACAGTCACTGTAAGGTTTTAGCCCATTAGAGATCACTGGGTGAGAATTTCAGACTGGTGTTTGTTAGATTGCTCTCTTGGTTAGTGAAAAAAGAAAACTACTTGGTCTCCATTTCCTCTAATCTGACCAGCATTTATTTTCAATATTCATAGTACCTTGACACTTCCTTTGCATGTCAGTCAGTGTACTGTTGTACTAGCTGACAGATTACCCACAAAGTTCACACACCCTGATGCTTTCTCTGCATGTCACTGAAAAGGGAGTGCTATGCAAAAACTAAACCGGTGATCAGGAAAGTCTGAAAGAGTTGTTGTATGTTGATGGGGAGAGGAGAATGTAAAAAGCTTAAGCTCTTGGTAAGAAGAATATTGGAGTGTGCAATATATTTGAGAGACATCATACATGTCAGAAACACCTGGTTCCAAGGCAAGTCAAAGATAATGAATCTGTTACTTATTATTGTCTCAATGTTTGCAGGGAAAAAAAATCCAATTGTGCTTTTCCAGCATCTCATAAAAATGTGCAAATGCTAGAACTGGAAGAAGCAACTGTTATTTTCAACATGATTGCTTCAGTGGGAGGGCTGACAATGTGTTAAGGACTGCAAGCAAAAGCAGAGGCAAATTCTATTGTAACCATCAGATTTCATATGGAGGATGCAGTTCTAGTAGAACTGTTTGCCTAAATGAACAAATGAAATTTGTAAAAAGTATGGCTGCTTGGTAAGACTGGACTTGGTGGCTGCACATAAATCAAATAAGGTGAGACAGAAGGGTAGGGCTAGGAAGAAACCTCCACCTTGTGAGAAACTTCAGCAGTACCCTAGGGAAGGAAGCCCTTATAGACTAAAGACCCCAAAGCCTGCTGCTTCCCAGTCTGCAGGCAAGGACCTGAGGATGGTTCTTGTGGGTGACCTGCTCCCTGTTGTGTATTCACAGGCCACTGAACAGAAACTTTTGTTTGGGAGCCTTGCTTGTACTGCTGCAAATCAAACTGATGCCTACTGTGAACTCTGTTTGAGACTCAAAATATCTTTGGGTGAGAGCCACTGCTTTAACAGAACTATGAAATGTTTTTGTGCTGCAGAGGACATTGCTGAAGAAGGGACCTTTAGAAACTGTGGTATGTGAGAAATCCATTAACTGCTTTTCTGGAAAGCAGTTAAATCCTGTCAATGGGAACATAGCATGGGTTTGGTAAACAGCTTTACAGAAAAGACATCTAACTGGAATGAATGGGAGCCCTAAATCTGAATGAAACCAGCTCAACCAGAAGAGTAAGGGGATGAACAAAGATGGAGGAGTGAAAAGAGATGTTCTTCCATTCCCAGCAAAGTAAGAAAAGGATCTAATAAGATTCTTGCACTGTTTCTTGACTTACATTCTGTTCTCTGGTTCACTGTTACTGCTATCCCCTTTTCCAAACGTACTCCTCTTATAACAACTTAGATCTGTCAAGTATAATTTAAAAAGAATGATCTTCTATGGCCTGCAATGCAAACCCTTTTGTCTCTGATTGCGTAGCATAGTTCTGGCTCTTCTGGGCTCAATTTTTGTTTTAGCACACAACCTACATAAATGTCCAGGTTTTAACTAGGTTCAAATGGTTCTTTAACATCTCCAAATCACCACCAGACTTGGTATGAGTCAGCGTGATTGGCAGCCTCTGCTGAAGTCTCTGCTCAGCACCAAATGCTGTGGCACCTCAATTCTGACCTATAAAATAAATTCCTTGTCTGTGTGCTGACCCTACACTGTGCTCGTCTCATCTGCTGCTTCCTCCCCTCCTCATTTCAGGAGCATCACCATTTTTTTCTTAAGTCTTTTCTCTCTATTCCACATTGCTCAGGGATGGTTATAGTTAAGGCTAAATATGGCTGTTGATTTATGAGAACACACCATTGATTTAAACATTTTGCCTGGTAATAGACTCAACAAGTTACTACCTACTCTGTTCTCTGGCATGAGCTTACACATGTTATTCTTTCTTTTTGGCCATGGCTTCTCTAGCTAATTGCATAAAAGGCCTTGT